TGGCCGCACGGGGGCCCGCAGCGCGCGTTTCTCACTCGCCCCCGCAGTAGTCCGACCCCGTGCCCACGGTCCCCGACGCGACACCTGCTCCGCTCGCTGGGCGCGGCCTGCCCGGCACGGGGCTCCGGCTGTCCGCCGGGGGGCGCCTCGCCGCCTCCCCTCCTCCGCGCGGCGTCCGCTGGGTGGAAGCGCCCAGGCGGCTGACTCAGGGTGAGTTTGCAGGTCGCGGGGAGGGAGGGACGCGGGTGACGCACAGTCCGGGGTGACTCAGGCCCGCAGGGGCGGGGAAGGAGGGGGGTGGCCAGACCTGTCGAGCGAGGATGAGTCGGCAAAAACCTGCAGTGCTCGGGTGCCCCGGCCGGCCGTGGGGATAATAGCCATAAAGGTGATGACAGGACGGACAGCAGTAGTACTGCGAATCCGGAGCTGACTGTGGCAGGCACTGTTCTGAACGCTTTGCATGTATACTAACTAGTTTAAACCTCAGAACAACCCTGCAAGGTAGGTATGATGATTATTCCCATTTTACAGAGGAGGAAACTGAGGCACACAGAGGTTTAAGTGACTTACCGAAGGTCACGGAGCTGCTAAATGGCTGAATCAGGATTCAAACCTGGACAGGGGCCAGCCCGTGGCTCACTTGGGAGAATGTGGTGCTGATAACACCAGGGCCAGAGGTTCGGATCCCAATATAAGGATGGCCAGTTGGCTCACTTGGGAGAGTGGTGCTAAGATCCCCTTACCAGTCATCTTTAAAAAAAAACAAAACATATATATATATAGAATCCGGACAGTCTGGCTCTAGAGCCTGCTCTTTACCTGCTCCGGCTGCCTTGGTTCAGCAGTAGTGACTATCACAAGGACTCTTCTGGAATTGTGCTGACAATGTGTGGACACTACCCTAAAGTCCCACAATGTCTCATCCTATTGTAGCAGCACCAGTAGAAAGTAGGTATGGTTATTGAACAGTGTCCAAGGTGGGTCAGCTAAAAATAAAAGTCAGGTCATTTGAGTCCAAAACAGAGGACCACTTAACCACCAACTCCAAGCAGGAAGGTGGACAATCCCAGACTCCGTTAAAGCAAGCATGTCTGGTTTGGTTGTTTTCCTTCTTACCCTGTGTAGAGCTAGAGCTAGGTCTCACAGACCCCTTAAGCCGTTGTCCAGCCTGGGTCACAAACCCTTCACATGCAGGTCTACGAGCTTGGTAACAGGAAAACGTCCTTGGAGCCGTGGGTGAAGAAATAATAGGCTTTATTTCTTAGACGTGGACTCTGCTGACCAGCAGTTCAGAGCCACTGCCTCACACACTGAAGAGCACGCAAAAATAGCAACAAGCCAAAAGGATACACAGGCGCACAAGTGCACTAACTCTACTCCCACACAACTTGTTTACAAAGGACGTGCTGCACCACACCCAGCCAGACCTGAGGCGAGGGGGCCTGACTAAACTACTCCATTTTCCTCACACCCTGGGTGGCACATGCATGGGGAATGCATATCTGTCAGCTGGAGAAACCCAGAGATAGTGTATGTGGGTGGGTAGGTGGGGGAGGTATAGGTTGGGGGCCCTATGTGGCCTTTGGCTAGTTACTGACACTTTCTGAACCCCCTCTGTAAGATGAGGTATTGCTGCCCATCACTCAAAGTTGTGAGTGTGAATTTCGAGGATGTACAGAAATCCTCTGTGAGTTGCATTCTTGCTGGGTTCTTAGTCTCTCACAAAATCTTAGAATGCTCAGGTCCTTATGAATTTTACTTGAACCTTTCTGTTTGTGCAATTCCAAAATATAATACCTGCGAGCACCTAAATTATACTTTGTTTCAGGAGTAGAACCTGGCCCTCCACCCACACCTCAGCCCCAGAATTATTGGGACTTAGAGAATTTCATCAAGAGGGAAATTGTGCCATCTAGAACCACTTCCGCATTACAGGAAGTAAGAAAGGCAGGGTAACAGTTTCTGGAGTAGAAAAATGGAGATTTGACCTGAATCTGTCATCATAGTATGCCCGTGAGGCCTCCATTCCTCATATCAAATTCTCCAGGTTAAGATATCTATGGCCTGACTCAAAATGGCTTAAACATTAAGAACATTTGTTTTTTCACATAATAAGATGTTTGGAATTATGTGTGTTCAAGATTGTTAAAGAGGCAGTTGAACATTGTCATCAGAGACCCTGGTTTGGCTCGTCTTTTTTGCTGTCATCTCAGTGTTCTGGCTTTTATCCTCAGGCTTGCCCCTTATGGTCTCAAGATGGCTGCTGTAGCTCAAAGCATCACATCACTGCTCACTCACCCCCCACCCCACCCCACCAGAAGCAAGAACTATACCACATGTCCGTGCCCAAAGCAATCCCTGGCAGGAAGCCTGGAATTACCAGGAATGGCTTAGCTTGATTGGCACTTACTTCTGGGTTCAGGAGGACTTACCCTACCCTGAAGCGCATGGCTCCTGATCCTTGAACAGAACTGGGAAGGCCTGGTAGCTGCAACCTAGTTTCCTGTGGGGAGCCTCCATTCCCCCACTCTCAGAACCATGTGGTTGCTGGGGCAGACCCCATCCCCTGAGGGTGGAGGTTGCAGGAGGACCTGATCAGGCCTGTCTAATCAGCAATTCCATTGTTTTGGCCCATCTGTCCCCAAAGCAATGAGACTCAACTTAAACCTCTTGTTGGGATGAAGGTGAGTTGCCTTCCAGTGGGGCCAACGTAACTGGAAGGTGAAGAATACTCAATATCCTTTTGTCTTAGTTTGGATTCTCTCAAAAGGAGACTCTGAAATAAGGACTTGTGTGCAAGTAGTTTGTTTGGGAGATGTGCTAGTTATTATTGCCGTAAAACAAATCATTCCAAAATTTAGTAGCATAAAACAACTTTTATTATCCCCATGGATTCTGTGGGTCAGGAATTCACACAGAGCACAGTGGGGAGTGCTTGTCTCTTCTCTACAATGTCTGGTCCATCTTCTGGGAGGTGACTTAACAGCTGGGGGTGACTTCGTGGCTGGGGCCGGAGTCATTGGAGGTGTCTTCACTTATTCGTCTGGTGGATGATATTGTCTGTTGGCTGAAACCTCAACTTGGGCTATCAGCTAAAAGAACTACACATGGCCTCTTCATATGGCCTGGGTTTCCTTATAGCATGGTGGCTGGTTTCCAAGAGCAAGTGTCACAAAAGAACCTGACAGAAGCCTCATGGCCTTTTCCAATCCAGTCTTACAAATCACACAGCACCATTTCTGCAACATTCTATTTGTGGGTGCTGTCACAAGCCCTCCCAGGCTCAAGGGAAGGGGACATAGATGCCATGTCTTGATGGAAGGAGTGTTAAGGTTCTAAAAGAGCTTGTGGGATGGGAAATATTGTTGTGACCATCTTCGGAAGACCCATCTGCCATAGGAGGTGATCCTAGGAAGTACCGGGGAAGGGAGAAATGCCAGTAAAAGGTACATTAATGGGAACATTGACTTGGTGGGCAACTGGAGCTCATTTCTGCAGTGGACTCTTGGAAGAGCCATCATGCATTCAAAGTGTCCCTCTCAGGGATGGGAGGCTGGGTAGTTGTTCAGTGACTCCTATCCCTCACTGGTTGAAGGCAGCCTGAGGAAGTTAAAATGTCTGGCATTTCTGGCCTGCCCTGCACTCAAACTGAGTAAGCATCTGTGGACCCAGAGGCAGGAAGCTGTCTGCTTATGGTGACTTGAGAGGTGGCCCAAGAAGATAAGGAAGAGGACACCAATAAATTCCTTTTCTGTCCAAACCAGCAGGAGTCCATGTGTGTTGTCTGCAGCCAGAGGCCCTGGCTACCCGCTCTCCCCATCCTGCTCCTGGGCTCCCTGTCCTCCCTTAGCAGGTTGGCCTGGCTGCAGCACTCTCCCCTTCTCTTTCATTTTTACAAAGAATCTTGTACCTGAGGCATTCGGGTATGCAGAGGACTTTCCTGAGTGTTTGGAAGATGAAAGGATTTCTGTGCTACAAAAGTAACAATCAATTTTAAATTCTTCTCCCTAAACTGCTCCTGTCCATTTCTACAGCTTGGATTGCAGGCATCTGCCATGTTGCTTGGTCCCCCCTTCCTGTTTTTCTCTCCATCTCCTCTTAGTCCCCTCTACTGATCCCCAAGTTCCTGTTCTTACTTCATGCAGAAAGTTTGCTTTTTTATTCTGCAACTTTGATGCCTGCTGATCATCTACTTGGTGTCTTAGGCAGCTTTACACTTAAACTGCTTCTTGTAGCCACAAGGAGGTGGAAAAATGGAAAGGCAAAAGGATACGACCGTCTCCTTTTTTAGGATATGTCTCAGAAGTTCCATCTAACACTTCCCCCTGCATGCCATTACAAGAACTTGGTCGCATTGCCACCCCTCGCTGCAAGGGCAGCTGGTATATATAGTCTTCATTCATAGTGGCAATATACTCACCTAAAATTGTAGTTCTCTACTAAGTCAGGAGAAAATAAGTATTGACAAGTAGCTAGCAATCTGAGCCACAGTTCTCAAGTTACAGGTCTTATGGCACAGGGAGAGAAAGAGAGAGAAAATTTCCAAGTTCTAGTTAGAGGCCCACCTCTGAACAAATCAGCTATGGCTGTGGGGGACAGACATTTTTTAGAGCATAAGCCACCATTATTGGTTATGACTTAAATGTATGGGGTTCATTAAAAATAATTACTGGTCACCCACTATTGGCTAGGCACTGTGTTAGACCCAGGGAATTTAATGATGAGCAAAAAAGTAGCAGGGAAGAGACAAATAATGAGCAAATAATCATACCACTCAATGAAAAAGTGTACGTTGATGGTAGGTGCTTCAGAAGAATGGCATGTGGTCCCTGAGGAAGTGTCTTCCTCTGTTCAGGCTGCTATAACAGAATACCATAGACTGGGTGGCTTATAAACAACGAAAACTTATTTTTCACAGTTCTAGAGGTTGGAAAATTCAAGATCAAGGTAACTTTTTATCCTCCCAAAATTCATATGTTGAAATCTGAACCCCCAAAGTGATGGTATTAGGAGGTGGGCCTTTGGGAGGTGATTAAGTCATGAGGGCAGAGTCCTCAAATTCAAGATCAAGGTAACTTTTTATCCTCCCAAAATTCATATGTTGAAATCTGAACCCCCCAAAGTGATGGTATTAGGAGGTGGGCCTTTGGGAGGTGATTAAGTCATGAGGGCAGAGTCCTCATGAATGGGGTTAGTGCCCTTAAAAAAGAGGTGTTGGAGAGCTCCCTTGCTTCTGCCATGTGAGGACACAGTGAGAAGACAGCCATCTATGAACCAGGAAGTAGGCCCTCGACAGACACTGAATCAGTCAGCCCTTTGATTTAGGATTTTTCAGTTTCTAGAACTATGGGAAATAAATTTCTATTGTTTATAAGCCACCGAATCTATGATAGTTTGTTATAGCAGCCTAAATGGCCTAGAACAAAAATTGGTACTGAGAAGTGTGTGTGCTGCTGTAGCAAATATCTAAAAATGCAGAAGTGGTTTTGGAACTGAGTAATGGGTAGAAGCTAGAAGAGTTTTGAGGTGCATGCCAGAAAAAACTTACATGGTGGTGACTGGACCTTTAAAGGCTATTCTGGTGAGGGTTCAGAAAGAAAAGAGGAGAGCTGTAGAGAAAGCCTCAATCTTAGAGAATTCCTAAGTAATCTGGAACATAATGTTGGTGGAAATATGGACAGAAAAGGCCATTCTGATGAGGTCTCAGATGGAAATGAGGAACATGTTATTGGCCAAAGGGGAAAAAAAATCCTTGTTATAAAGTGGCAAAGAAGTTGGCTATCTCGAGTTCCTGTTCTAGTGTTCTGCGGAAGGTAGGACTTATGAGCAATGAAATTGGATAGTTAACTGAAGCTATTTCTAAGTAAAGTGTTGAAGGTGTGGCTTGGCTCCTTCTGACTGCTTATAGTAAAATACAAGCAGAAAGGAATGGCTTGAAAATGGAATTTTTAAGCAGAAAGGAGGCAAATCTTAAAGACTTGAAAAATTCCCAGCCTATCCATAATTCAAAAAATGAGAAAGGGTGTTTGGGAGAGAACACTGAGGGTGTGGCCAAGCATCTCTTTGATAGGGAGATTAATACGGATGTGAACCATGGGCTTAATCAGCCATCTCAGCAGGAGAACTGCCAGTTTGAACTCAAGGGAGGGAGATGGGAAGGATTGAAGGAAGACTGTTAGACTTCTTGGATTTTACAATACAGGACCATAGGGCTATTGAGCTGAGAACACAAACTATTCCTCATGACGAGGGTAGAATGACGCTGAACGCAATTCAGAGATCATCAGGGCTGCGTTCTTGGTTTCAAAGGCAGAGACCATTACCTTGCTTTTAACAGGCCAGATGGCTTCTGCCCAAAGCTCTGGGGGCAGGGCTGCCCAGAGCCTTGGGGACATGACCTCTGCTGGATAGAATTGTGGGGGCAGGACTGGCACCACAGTGGGTTCAGAGAGTGGGACCACCAACCTAGTAGCTCTGGAAGGCTGCCCCAGTGAGCCTGGAGAGCAGAACATTGAGCCAAAGAGGATTATTTTTGAGTCTTAAGATCTCATGGAGTTTGCATTGTAGTTTGGACTTAGTTGGGATCTGCTACCCCTTTTTTCTGTTTTTCCCTTTTGGAATGGAAATATCTGTCCTCTGCCTTTCCCACCATTGTATTTTGGAACCACATAACTTGTTTGGTTTCACAGATTAACAGCCCGAGAGCAGATTGCCTCAGGATGAATTGTGCCTTGAGTCTCATCCATATCTGATTTAGATGAAATTTAGATGAGACTTTGGATTTTAGACTTCAGAGTTGATGCTGAAATGAGTTAAGACTTTTGAGGCTGTTGGGATATAGTTAATGCATTTTTTATGTGAGGACATGAATTTTGGGGGGCCAGAGATAAAATGCAGACTGAATATATCCCTCCATGAGTATGTTGAAATCCTAACTTCCAATGTGATAGTATTAGGAGGTGGGCCTTTGGGAGGTGATTAGGTCATGAGGGTAGAGCCCTCATGAATGAGATTAGTGCCCTTATACAAGAGATGCTGGAGAGCTCCTTTGCCCATGACACTATGTGAGGACACAGCAAGAAGATGGCCATCTGTGAACCAGGAAGCAGCTTCTCACCAGACACTGAATCTGCTGGCCCTTTGATCTAGGACATCATAGTCTCCCAAACTATAATAAATAAATTTCTATTGTTCGTAAACCACCCAGTCTATGGTAGTCTGTTATAGAACCCTAAATGGACTAAGATAGACATGGTCAGATCTGCATATTTGAAAAGATCCCTGTGGCTGCTGTGGATAGAGGAAGGGAGGTGGGGGAAGCAGCATGGATCCAGGGAGACCAGTGAGAAGGCTGGTCCAGTTGTCTAGGTAAGAGGTTATGGTAGCTATGGACCAAGGTGGAGACTAAGAAGATGGAGAGGAAAAATGGACAGAACCTGGTGATGGATTGAATGGGAGGGTAGGGGAGACAGAGGCATGAGTGATGACTTCTGGGTTTTATGACTGCAAGACTGGATAGGTGCTGGAGCCATTCATGGAGATTGGAAACCCTGGAGGAGAACCAAATCATGGCTTCAGACTTGGGTTGGTTTCTGGTGCTTTGGGGATATCCAAGAGGAGGTGGCCTGCAGGCAGATGTTGATTTGTAGCTCAGAGAGGAGGGCGGAATTAAAAATGTAAATTTGTGAGTCATCTGCATGTAGGTAGAAATTGAAGCCATGGGTGTAATGTGATTGCTTCAGGAGAGTGTACAGGAACAGGAAGTGAGTTCCTTCTTTGAGTATAGGAAGATGAGCTTGCAAAAGTTGCTATGTGGAGTAGCCAGACAGGTAAGAGGATAACCAGACAGTCATGTTATTGAGGTCTTGAAGGCGATTGAGGGCACTGTGCAAAGCAGACTGGATCAATATGCCAGTTGAGGTGCTTTGGGCTGCAGGTAACAGGAACCTGATTCAACTTAAACAATAAAGACACTCATGTCACATACCTTGGAATCCAGAGACGGTGTGTTGAGTGAGTTTCAGGGTGGTTTTTTCATTGGCTCCTTGATGTCATCAAGGACACAGGCTTTTTCCATGTCCCTGCTTTGCCATCCACGGTGTGGTCTTCATGCTCAGGCTGGTTCCCTTTATGACCACAAGATGACATTCAATAGGAAGAGAGACTGGATTCCCTTTCTTTGAAGAGAGAGAGAAAGCAAAATTTTCCATATGCTTTCAGCAACTCTATTCTTAAGTCTCATTGGCCAGAATTGGGTTATGTGCCCATTTCTGAACCCACGTGATGGTATTACTCTTAGACCAGTCAGGACCATCCCTTAAGCTGATGTTCAGTCCCCAGATTGCATGGCTGCTAATCAAGGAGGGAGAGGTGGGATGGATGGTGGACCAGCATAACGGGGCTGGATATGGTTGATAGGCACCCAGCATTTACTCCCACCTCCATCTAGGGTGCCTTCTGTATTGTGTGGTTGGGAGTTAAAAACTGCATTTCTCAGACTTCCTTACAGCAAGAGAAGTGACAGTGAATTAAGTTCCACCAGCTGAATGCACTTCTGTGAGCTGTGGATGGGAGAAGTGGGAAGGAGCCATCTTCCTACTGCTTTGATGCTTGCTACTATTAAGACGGTTGTGGAGGTGCTAAGAGTGTTTCAGCATTGAGCCACTAGCATAATGGGAGATGGCAGACAGTTACAGAGGCAGCGGCAGGGGCCTCCTGATCCCTATACTGCGTGTTCTTGAAGTCAGTAGTTCCAGTGCAGCCTCCTGATCCCTCTCCCCCCAGCCCCATCTAATTGAAGAAGAGGCAGTAGCTGTCCTGGTGGTGGGGTTCTGGGGATCCAGCTGAGGACTCACTCCTTCAGCTCTTCCATGAATTTTGTCAGCAGCCAATTCCCTGTATTAAATACTTTCTGCTTCAAAGGGATTTAATACCTATTTGTAAAATCCCGATCTAGGGTAGTTTCTGTTCCCTGCACCTAAAACAAACACGATGGATGCAACAGCCAATCGGGAGCAGGGTGTAGCCACAGAGGCCTGTGTGTGGATGGTTAAGGAATGCAACAGGTGCCTAGGCCCCTCAACACCCCGCTGGAGACTTTGGGGGTGTGTCCAACAACTGCTGTTGTTGGAAACACCTAGCACGTCGCCCAGGATGCAGCCAACTGTCCAGAGGTGTACAAAGGGAAAAGCGGACAGGCACCAGGGAGAGGGACTAAAAGATGAGGTCACTGCCTACAAAAGGAGGAAACCCACCAGGAGGCCCCAGAGGAGGTGGGGTTCCAGCCTGCAACCTCCACCCCCCAGCATCCATCCTTCAAAGCATGCAGGCCTCACTTCTTGGTGAGTCTGTGATGAGAGTTGGGGGTATGTAGCCTGTAGTTATATTTGTTTGGCAGGTACAGTTAATTTGAGTTGTAATTCTTTAAGGTGAGACACACCCTTTCCAGTTAGTCACAGGCTTCACCATTCCCTAATGTCTTAAGGCAACTAGATTCATTTACTATGTTATTAATCTGGTTTTTGAACCCTTATTTGAGGAATATTTAGGATTGAGGATACCCGGGACCCCTGGGGCTGTGTGACCCCTTAGTGGCAGCTACAGCCTAGTTAGTCTACAGGGAGTGAAATGGAGTGAAAAATCTCTCAGATGTCTCTCAGATGCCCTCCCCTTCCTCTCAGCCCTCCCCCAACCAATCACAAAGTCTAGAGGCGCTGGTGAGTGGCCAAAGTCCCTTTAATATCCCTGAATTGCATTACAAGTAATACTGCTGAAGGTGGGGAAGGGATAGGGGTCTGGGGGTGAGTTGGAGGAGGAGAAGGGAGGGGGAGCGCCAAGCGCTCATACAAAATATGGCCAAAAGGCTTAGCATGCATGGAAAATTATTGCTGTCAGAAGTTCCTATTTACAGGGTCAACACCCTCCATAATTGCTTCTGTGACCCCTCTCCCTTCCACCATTCCTGCAGCCTTTCTTTCCGGTGGGCCTGTAGCTGGGCAAAGGACCACCCACCCCTCTGAAGCCCTGGAGAAGCGCCCCTGCCCCAGGGACCCCTCCGGTCTCCACCCTCTTTTGTGGCTGGGCGAGGAGGAGGGTTGGGGAGTCCAGGACTCCTGCCCGCAAGCTGGGCGCAGAGCGAAGGAGCAGAGGCATGTGCTTAAAGCAGAGGGGCCAGGGCCCGTGCGCATGGAGGTGTGTGCTTCGGTCCTCGCCCGGGCACGCAAAAGCGCGGCGGAGGAGGTAGTGGCGGCCAGCGGGCGGGTGGCTGGCAGCCCCGGCCCCTCTGCCCGGGAGAGTTGCATAGACGTGGCCGGGAGAGAGCGCTCCTCCCGTGAAGCGGGCCAGAGGCCCCAGCGGGGTCCGGGGCTCAGTCGGTCCCTGGAACCTGGGGTCCCTCGAGAAGAGGAATAAATAGGAAACAAATCGAGGAAGCTCCTCTCTCCAGGCTCCCTGGAGTGGGCGTCGAAGGCTCAGGAGGGCGGGGACCTGCCCCATGACTGGACCTCCTGATGCCCCCTCATGCCCTCAAGTTGAGGATCAGCAGATTACCCCTCCCATTCTCGAGTCTCCTTCCTTAGCGAGTTCAGGCTCTGATGAAGGTGGGGCTTCTTCCGAGACCAGGGTGTGTATGTGCGGTGGCGGGTAGCCCTCTATGGCCTTTGCTGTCCCTCTCCTTGCCTGGCTCCCTGACCTCCCAGTCCAGCTGGGAAAGCCAGACTGTCCCTGGGTGAGGCCAAGAGATTAAATAGAATAATAAATAGATAAATAAATAAATACACAAATAAATACCTGGAGAGGCCCAGCCAGACAAAGGGAAGGGCATTGGCGAGGTGTTCCAGACCTCCCCCCAACAAGTAAGGAGGGGTACCTGTGGTCCTGGGGATGGGGGAAAGTGCTCAGAGAGTTTGGGGGATGGGCAGCTCGAAGCTGGAAGTCCAGGGTAGGGCTGTCCTGGGGTGAGACAGGACTTACATTAGGGGACGGCCCTGAACTGTCTCTCAAGTCTGATCCACTTTAGGTAAATTCAGAAGGGTGAGGGCTGCTAGAGGGATGAGGGGATCTGGAGAGAGCAAGAGATAGGAGTGGCTGATGGGCCCCCGAGTATTGAAGAGAGTGGGAAATGTGTCGGGGGTGTGTGAACGGCTGGACCTAAGCCCGGGCATGGAGGGGGTCAGGGACAGACTGGGGACTCCAAGAAGAGTGAAGATTAGGTGCCCAGATGGACACACACAGAGGGGCCAGAGGTATGGTCTGGGATTGGACTGTAGTCTGAGGGATGTAGGGCCTGAGTCCAGGTATGAATGGGGAAACTGATGGAGACATGGAAGTCAAGGGTAGGTTTGGGTCTTAGATTTGGGGCTCCAATAGACAAATGGTCAGAGAGACTCAGCTGAGAAGCGAGAGGAAAGGCTTCAAAGTTAGAAGGAGGGCAGTGCAGGGTCTGAGCGGGAGAAATTTCCGACTCTGGGGCCGGGGAGAGGTGCGGACCTCGTGCCTGAGTTGGGAGCCTTGAAGGCGCGAACAGGGGGTCAAGGTCCGAGTGGTGGCCGGAAAAGACGGAGTGGGTAGGGGTGCGCTAGGAAAGACAGTGCTGGAAGGGAGTTGTGGGTTTGGGGGCTGCAGAGAGGAGTTCTGGGCCAGGACGTGGGTCCCCATGAGGGGCGTGGACAGGGAAACGGAGCTGGGGGTTGCAGAGGGCGCTGCGGGCGCAGGTGGGGGCCCGGGGCGCGTGGAGAGCAAGTCCCGGGCGCGCGGGCGAGGCGGGCGGCTCAGCTGGCCGG